GACACAGTCTGAGAATACGGGGGGAAAAGATATAGAGGCACAGACACTGGAGAGAGCACTCATATTGCAGTGGCACCATAAATGGATTTTGTGGTTATCTCTGTTACTGTGTCTCTAGGCTCCTCCACCACAGCAGCTGTGTTTTAGAGCCAAACACCTGAACTACCCCTGCTGCTAACAAGAAACTTGAGGACACAATATGTTAGTATTGTCATGATAAATAAATGCTACACCATTGCCAGGTGGAGGAGGCGGGGAGGATGAGTGCTTGCCCTACAGGAGCAGGGTGAGGCAGTCCCTGGCTCTCCAAGCCTGCTGTCAGGTCAGGACTCACTATGTCTTTTGTTAGTTAGAGTGCAGAAGATGTGCAAGATGTTGGAAAGAGGCTCAGGATGCAATTAGGAAGTCAATAGCAGCCCTGACAACCCCTCCCTGCAGCAGAGCCAGCAACTCCTTCCCAATTCCAGTAATACAGACTGGCATAAAATCCTTTACAGGAGTTGACTGACATGACTGTCATGGTCCCTCTTTCTTATTGTAAATGTTGGCGTTTTGGGAGAAGATTTAAATACCACTTAAAAAGAACCTTGAGAACAATGCAGTTTTGGATATATATTTTCATATGGGTGCTTGTGTAGGGTGGGTGCCAGCGCTGTTGTTTCCCCTTGTTCCCATGAATCACTTTTGAATAGAGACATTAAGATGTCTCACAAGTGCCTGAAGTCCTCGCAGTGACCCTATGGCAGGGGGCACGCAGGATGCCTGTAGGACTGGCTGATGAGTAGGTTACGCGTAGAGAGGTTAAGTGATTTGCCCAAAGCCGTCAAGACCATCTGTGTCACTTCTTCAATTACGGAAATCCTCTTTCCTTTCTTTGGAAATGTGTGTGCAAACTTCACAAGCCTACATCATCTTTTCAGCAGTGAAATCACTGATCATTTATACCCAGCTAAAAGCGATGAGTTGCCACTGCTCAGAATGATTTCCTCACTGGTTTTGTTTGTTTTGTTGTGAAATACCTGCTGTGAACTTTGGTATTATTGGTTTTTCTTTCTTACCTAAGATAAAAGACAATGAGACAATTTGATCTGACAGTCTGTGACATAGCCACAGCCGAGTGGTACAACGCCTTTTTCCACCCACCCACTCACAAGCCAAGTTTCAGGCTCTGCCAGCTCAATACTACTGTTGTCACTCTCTCCTATTCTGCAATTTGCAAATAGCCCAGTGATGTAGTAGGGGGTAACGTTGTTTGAACAGTCTCTTCAGTCAAGGATTTTCTAAAATAAACTGGACAGCAAGTAATGGGTCTGCACATGGGTCTGATATTGAACAGTGCAAGGGGAATAGAAAACGCAGCATGCTATGACATGAAATAAGGCAGGAACGTTTTCTCAGCAAATCTGGCTTGATGACCTAGTAGGTGGTTGCAGAGGCTAAAGAGGACAGACTTTTCTTTCACTTTGCAGAGTGGAGCTGGTAATGTCCTGGAAATGACTCCCAGCAGGAGAGGGGTAAAGGGATGCTTCTGCCCTTATACTTCACCTACAGTCTCCACATCCACCTATCCCTTTGCTCCACACACTTGTACCAGTCCTTTAACCTTGGTGCCCCTTTAGCCGTAAGCCTGTTCTCTCTGTTTGGGTGGGTAGTGTTTCACCCACCCAAAACTGTGCGAAATTAAGCCCTTCCTCATTTTTCTACCCTTTGGTTTCACAGTTTCTTGCAGATTGCTTCATATTCTCAGATCTATTTTTTCATCCACCAGCACCTTCCACACTCTGCTTTTTCAAAATCCCCTGTGAAATTCACTCATTTTGAACAAATCACTCTCAAACAACTTGCTACTGAGGAAAGGACTTTTGAGTTAGTTCTAGTGGAGTACTATCCATTGTACAGGCTCAAAGCATAGGTTTCATGTATCAGATTTCCTAGGGCATGCTTGAGAAGACCACCTGGACTGAGATCAGGCATTTTAGCTCTTGCTTGCACGGACATGGGCCATGATGTTGCTTTGCAAGATGGACTAGCAGCGATCTCTGTCAGCCCTTGGACATTATGTGCTCTGCATGAAATGATGACAGAAGTTACTTATATTTGATCTGCTGGAAGAGAAGTTTGAAGATCTTCCTGTGAATTCAAGATTTCTCTAGGATGGATTTTTTTAGGATGTTTCTGTTGAACTGTGGCACTGGGAGGGCTGAATTCTCATATGTTTCTAGTGAGGATGGTATCTGAGAGGGGATGTATCTCTGAAACCTGGAGAAGAGGGGATGAAAGAGGAAGCTGCAAGGAGTGAAGGACACTAAGACCTTTAAGGGCTCCAAGTCTCTATGAGGACTCCTGATAAGAGTGGCCAAATCACTGCATTAGGGCCTTTTTCTTTAGCAAAGAGGTGGTGCATACTGGGTATTTGCAAGGACAAGCTGTAGAGTTGTCAGCCCCAGGTCCTGCCAGCCCAGCATCCTTGCTGGGAGGAACAAACCTTTGCTACCCCAGTTCTGTTGGGTATTCAACCTCCTCGCTGACAAGGGAGGGAGTCCTAGCGGACTGCTATGTGTGTTAAGCCATCCTCAAATGAAGAGAGAAGTAAGCAGTGGCTCGCTTTCTTGCAGTTCTGGGAATATTCACTTCCAGAAGGCTCTGCGCTTGTCTCCGTCACATGGCAGCTGAGCCAAGAGAGTCACACAGCTAAAATTGCACATCACAGCGGCGGATACTATTTTCGTCTGAGTTCTAGCCAGAAATTTAAAGAGAAGGATTGGAGAGTACTGTAGAGGAGACTGTTGTTCCTGATGTGATGTTACTTGGGGCTTGTATTATCATCAGCGCACTGCTAAGCCCCTGGCAAGGCAAATGTCTATGACGTAAGCTGTGCGCTTACATTCCCCCGGAGCAGGCTGACCCTTTGCTGCAGCTTCAAGGGACAAGGTGAAATGTCTCAAGCACTAAAGTATTCTTGTTTCAGATGCCCTGTAGAATGATTCCAATCGTATAGACAACATAATTTCTCATGGCCTACCTCATCAAAACGACTGAAATTATAATCAAAGATTATCAAAATACTAAAATCTAGAATAAGCTTTTTGCTGTGTAAAATGAAATACCATTATGATAGAAGTCTTGGAGTCAATGAATGCAAAAGATCATAAAAGTGCATTCATTTTATATTGCAAAATTTTTTTTAAACCGGTCTTAGAATGTTTCCTGAGGAAGATTCCCTTCTGAGCTGCTCATCTCAACGGTCCTGTCTCTATATTCTTGCTGATATTGCATCAGTCTCTGCAGTATCTGGAAAAATATCCCCATAATTGTGCCTGGGGAGAGGGCTGGGATACGTGACAGCATTTTCATTTTAGAAATATAGTGAATTACTTCACTTTGCCTGGAAGCAGTTCCTGGAAAACTGGTATTAAGTGGTGCTGTCTGAACAGCAGTCCTTAAAGCACTGGTGACTGCAGCTCAGGTGAGCAGCCTGGGGGAGCTCTGTAATTGCCTGGTCCGTGAAGGTGCAGGGGGCTATGGCATCCCCCTCGCATGTGACCAACATGACAGGTCCCACACCAGCTCCCACTGCTGGACGAGGCACACAGGGACAGCACCCAGGAATGACTGATATAAGAAATGGAAATGAAAGCACCTTTCCCTGCACTTGGCACGTGTGGACTGTTGATGAACTGTTAATAATTCCTATACAGTCACCAGATGTAACGGGGAGGGCTATTGAATAACCCAGTGCGTTTCAGCAGCTACATTGCTCTCCCTCTAGATAATATTTTACTTCTGTTTTTAAGTTTTTGCTGTCTTTGCATAATGTTACACTATGGAATAAAATGTTCTCTTCAGTTAAGGATGTGTTCAGTGAAGGACTTGTAAGAAATTGTGGAAAATAAGTTGAAATAAATCCTTTAATTTTCAGTTCCCAGAAACTCCCTGCTCTCATAATGAATGATGCTATGTTTCATTGACACATCTGGCCCTCCAGAATATGCACTTCAGAGAGAAGTAGGTTCCTGTGAAATGTGCTGGAGACTTAGCACTAAGGACTAAAACTCCTCAGTTCCTCTGAGAAGCTGGCCCAGGGGGCCAGCAGCCGTGAAATTACCTTCTCACTTTGCTGCCAGTGTGCCTTTGCTCTGACTCGGCGAAACCTCTTCAGGAGCAATGCAATTCAAGTTATGACTTAGCAAGCCTTTACTGCATCAGGACTTCAGTTTCCAGGTTCGTTCTAGGCAGAACTTAACCTCTCCTGCACAGATGCGGCTGCCCTCCAGTGCAGGGCTGTTGTGCAAAAATAGGCAATATAGCACTGTCAAGAGCTGTTCCGCTTAGCAGCACTTTTCTCTTTCCCCTTCCGGGATCAGTCCTCGATGCACTGCACAGAGAGGAAAACTTTCTGCCTGTGCTCTTCCTCCTCTGCCCCCAGATAACCTTGTTTCGTCCCAAGGAGGCGATTTTAGTATTTTTCTTCCATCTCCCTTGGATTTTGCTAGGTGGACCAAATTTCTCCAGAGAATCATATTTGATTTCCAGTACTGGGTTAAAAAGGAGGTTCTGAGACTAGCCTTCCAGCAAAATCTCTTCCTTCATCTTCCCCAGTTTGGGCTTTCAGCAGTAGGACCAAAGACTGGGGTGTGGACAAATAATTTGCTCCAGCAGTAATGATTCTTGCTCCAGGGCTGAACTCTGCAACTGGGAGATATTGGAAAGGGACCTGGGAGGTTGAGCAAGATGTGAGGAAGCAGAGCTCCTCCAGGAGCTGGGAAAACAACCCTGCAGTCTGGGAGGGCAGCAAATGCCTCATGCACGGTTGGATTGATTTCTGGATTTCACCACTTGTATACACAATGAATAGGTGAAGATTCATGGGAATCTGGGTAGAGCTTTAGGGCCAGTGGAGTAGTCGGGAAAGCCAAGGGAAATTCCCAGGGGAGGCTGGGGAAGGGCACAAGCCGCATCCTTGGTAAGAAGGGGTCTGCTCCAACAGGACTGGCTGGGATGCGAGGGAAGGAGGTGTCTCCTACACAGCCGCTGCACCAATTCTCCATGGCATGGGGTGAGTGTCCTTTGATGCAAAGGTGCAAAGCCATCTTCAGGGATTAATAAATTCAACAGGGAATGGCCTCTTGACAGCCAGCATTACCCTGCAAGGTACCACCCCTTGTGATTTTCCAGGCAGAGAGGCACTGCGAACGGCAGCTCTGGCGCAGCATTGCAGGGCTTCACAGGATTACTTATTCACTGTGTTCCTGGAACAGCTCCAAGCTTCCCGTCTCTGCCTCCAGTGTACAAACTCATCGAGTATGCAGAAGGCTCACAGCCCCCAAAGGCAAGTGAAGACAGTAGGAAGGTGGTTCATACTGCAGATCACGCTGCCTCTGACGGACCTGCGGGGCTGTATTTCTCAAAAGACTGAACTGGTATCCTCCCTTCTTCTACCTCCCTAACGTTTAATCAGGGTAACTAAGGCAGCAGACTCAGTCCGGATGGATTTCATTGCTGGGGCCATTGGAGGTAAATAAATCAAGTAGTGCTTGCTGATGAAAGCAGATAGCTGTATTTCCTTATTATTAAGCTATTGGGCAGGTCCTAGTGGCAATGGTAGAGCTGAGAGTCTTTTGGGGTGGGGTGGGGGGGCTGCTTGTTAAAAATGAATTCTTTACTAAGTGGAAAATGTCATCAGAACAGGTTCACAGAGCTTCTGGGGAAACAGCCCTGCAATTTGGTTGGCTGAGGTCATTGCCCTGCAATCTCCTCCAGTCTAGTGATGGAGCAAAACTCTGATAGGAAGAGACTATGTGGAAAATGCGGCATGCAGATACAAACCGGCAAACATTGCCTGGGCAGCAGAACCTTCCCTGTCTGATGCCTCGGGGTCCTGGCCACGAGCCAGTCAGGGCTCTGGAGGGCTGAGGGTGCATCTCATAAAACTGGAAGGGTGGAGGAATGGCTTTGTTTCAGGAAAGGAGGTCTGAATGACTGAAATTTATGTAATCTTAAGCTGAGATGTATTTGCAGCTCTGATGGTAATTTCACTGCAGCCTGCTGCATAGCAGGCTTTGATCTAGCGAATAAAAAAAAAAGTGTGATTTAATTTTAGACATTTTGAGGGCATATACTGCTCAAACTCAGTTTTGTTTTAAACACCACTGCTCTCATTTCTTTTCTGAAATCTCCTTATCAGATTAGTATCGAATAGCAAGACAAGAGACTTGGGGTCACCGCCGCCAGAAAGGCCAGGTAAACCTGCCAGATGGCTGAGACGCACAGTCCAAGTCCTGCATGCCAAAGCTTACTAGGTTCTCAGAGCTGCTGAAATTTGGCAGGCTTTCCCTAACCAGGAGTGGCCTGTGGCCCGGTTACAAATGCCCAGTTGCCAGGAGGAACCCTGGTGAGTTTTACCCTGACGCCCCTTTGTGTTCACTGCCCGACCTGCAGATGCCGGTGAGGTTTGGCTGCTCAGTGGCACCCAGGCTGTCACTCAGGCTGTCGGCTCTCCCAGAGCGCGGGGACCTCCACTTGGACCTCTGCTCCTGGTTGGAGAGGGGGATATAACCCCTCTGTGACATCTCTCCTTTCTACTCCTCTTTTCCTCTTGACTTCCAGAGTACATAGTGGAATTTCGGGTCCAGTGGTGTGGCTGGGAAAGGCCAGTCCTACTCTGAAGGAGTCTCTGAACCTTGTCTTAGGTGTCATGATTAAATGCTGTCATTGATATGTGGCTCAGCTTGGCTTAGCAAGGCAGCGATGTTTGTGTTCTCTGGTGGGACTCCACTGTTTTCGTTGGCATTGCTATGACGCAGCCACTTAAGGATGAACTTCTTTTGGTAGGGAATGTGAAGAGTCGAAAACGTAGTTCAAAACAGCCATTCACCTTGGCCTTCTCCCTTGACTTTGGTGCCCAGGCTGTGGTTTCTGTGGTGCCCTCCTCTCCGTGCACTAATGTACAGCCCAGTAAGGCAGCGAGCATATCCTGTGGGTGCCTGTGGACCTGAGAAGTGGGCAGGAGGGGAGTCAGCCTGGGAAGGTGCAAGTTGGGAGCCCTCCAGCCGGGAAGAGAAATGTGCTTGCTTATTTTAATGCACTTTGTTCACCTGAGGGTGTCTGAGAGCAAGATTTTCCGTCCTGTCATCCATGTCAAGCTCAGGGCTTTTTTATGAGGGATAATGCACCCTTTCAGTGGCAGACAGGGGTGTTTTCTGGCATGTTGTCCCCTGTTGGGAGCTTGCACATAGACACGTGCAAAGTACCCTGGGCAAGCGTTTCGGGCCGTGGTCCCTACCCTGACATGGGACAGCTCGCAGGGGAGGGACAGCTTTCCTGTGAAAACAGGGATATTTTTGGCACTGAGATTGTTTCACAGCTTGCGCTTGTTAGAGCTGAAGCAGATTTCACATTCCCAGAGAAGCTGCAAACCCAGCTGAACTGCATCAAGCAACTCAAGTGGCAACACAGATAACAATCGAGTCTATGTTTAGTAAATGATGTTATTGCGACCTTATTGTGTTTTCCAGATGTTTTGGAGACCACACAGCTTGGGCACCTCTGAAAAACAGCAGAGGTGTAGTCCCTTTGGATCCCATGTAAAGATCCAGCCTGGTTCGGAAGCACACACAAATATTGTTGTGCACCTCCTCCGAGCTACTGCTTCTGTGCCCATGGGACAAGCTCAGCACCTTTGACCTGGGAAATAGTGATCTGCTGTGATTCCAGATGAGAACAACGTGAGAGAAACATGTTCAGTGGCTAAATTTGGAGGCTTTCAATAACCACAAAATGGGGCTGGAGGTGCTGGAAAGCAGCTCAAATATAAGGATGTCCTTGTTGGCCAACATAGCTGACCCTGCTCTGAGCAGGTTGAAGTAGAGACCTCTTTAGGTCCTTCCCAACCTTCCTATGAATCTGTATCTCTTTCTAGCCCTGCTATGGCAGCAGCCCAGGCCGTGGCAGGGCCTGAGCAGTGTTGAGGAGTGATGACTAAGGAGGACTTGACTATTGGGCCTGAGCCAGAGATCTGCGAAAGGGAAGCTGAGGTTTACCTAGCACTGCCCTGATAAAACATCCCAGTCTCTGGCATGTCCAGGCTTCTCTGCATCCTGCTGCAAGGTTACACACCAGGCACATGCAGTCCCAGGGTAGATAAGTAGTCTACCCACAGAGGGAACATGCCGTCTGCTTGTCCGTTCAGCTGAAACAGCTATGCTCAGGTAGTTCAGCTTGTTTAGGGTATGGGGCAGTTTTAATGTTCCCAGCACTTTGCAAAGTATAGGTCTTTGGAACTTGGTATCTACCCATCCAATGCATGGACCATGATCTCTGCTTCTCCCTGTGTCTCCAGGCCAGGATTTGGCCTACAGCTCAGAGCTGTGACAGTCTGGTGGGCTCTGTACGGCAGCTACTTGCTCCCTACTGATTGCCATTTCAGTGGCAGGATCCCTCCTTATTTTAATTGCCAGGTCTAAAGGGCCTGACTTGTGAAGAGATTGTGAGTTATCAGATTTTGTCCCTGCTGTATGCGTGTATACAGGAGATGCTGTAACCTCTACACAATACCGGAGAATATCTCAGACAAAGCAGTCATGAAAGCTGGCCAGCTAAACCCCAGCACTGATCATTCACTTGATTTTTGCCATTATTTTTTTCACAACTGGTGCAATGTTACTGAATGGGAGTCCCATAGGATCCCTCTCACGTATGCATCCTATACATAGCTGGCCTTTGTTGCTTCTGCTGTGCTCACAGTGCATGTATGGGTCAAGCTATCTTTATCCGAGGCTATTTATATCATCTGACATTGTACAGAGCCCTTCTTCCTTGGCCTTTGACAGACTGGGCTTGGCTCCTCACCAAAAAAACTTGACTGCTCTGAGTGCTTTGGTTCTTAAGGAAGTTCATGGCGGGCTGTGGCTGCTGGGAGGCTTTAGGGGCTCACCTCTCCACTTTGGTGGGAGCAGTGGAAAGTTTACCCTTAGGGTCTTTTCCCAGGCGGGGACCTTTTGCCCATATTAAAATAAAGGTGAACGGGAGCCCTTTGGACTGAGGAGCGATGGGGAACAAGCCGGTTTGGGGCAACTTGCTTTTTTTTGTCAATGTTGTTGCTGTCTCCCTTTATCTTGATGTGCGAGCAAAGTGATTCCTCCATAAGGGAATACACTTTGTGTCCAATGCTCATCCAGATCAGCCCTAGTACCTGATAAACATGAGCCAACAAAAAATTGAAAGGCTCCTACCTGCCTGAGCGTGGTGGAGCAAGCTGGGTTTCAGCTGCGCGGGGCGCACCGTGTGCTTGCGTAGCCAGCGTCCGGGCAGCCCCCGAGTGCCACCTTTAAGATTCAGGAAGTTTGCAACCGATGTAATACCAAGTCCTCCAGGCTGAGATGGGGTGCTTGGGCCAGGGCCCAGTACTTCTGAGGTCACCACAGTCATATTGACATTAGCTTATTTGTTGCTTTTCCCTGGAGGGCTGGAGGTGTCTGTGTTTGCAGTCTGCCTCTGGGCTGAGGGCTGGCAATCTAGGACAGTACAGGTGGCCCCAAGGGACTTGGTGCGTTGTCGCTGTCTGCTCAGCTCAGATGCATTGCTCCTCCTAGCTGTCTTATTCTGCTGTTACTTCTTTCTGTCCTGGGTGTTCTCCCTCACTGTCTCTTTCAACCTTACCTCGTTTTGGCTTTGAAATACTCAAGGTGGCTTCTTGGCCCATTTATTATCTCTCTCTGCTGCTATTGATCTGTCCTGCTGGCAGATTTGACAGGGTTTTTGCAGACAAACCTCTTTTTTTTTTTTTTTCCCTCCTCCTGCAAGCAAGACTCTGCCTGGGTTTTTTTGGTATGAGTGAAGCGCTGGAGGCTTGACTGCTGGTGACTCACTCCAGCTGCTGCTGCTGTTCTCAAAACACGGTAGAGCTGCTCGGAGTTCCCAAGTAGCAGTGTAATTGCAGGTGAACATGCCTAATGAAATGACTGTGGCAAGAAATACATTTTTAAGCATCTTCCTTTTTCTTAAAAACAAACAAACAAAATGCTTTTTGTTAGTGGTGGGCAGTTTCTAACTCATGAGCCACCAGAAGCATACTGTTTTCTGACTCCCTGGCTCCCAGAAGAGCTCATATAAGCACTTTTATGAACTTGATCTCTGTATAAATAGCCCACATGGATACAGGTCTGTTGTCCCCCAGCCTGATTTCCTTCCAGATCGCTTGGCAGTTTATATACTTGGAGGAGCTTGGCTAGTCAGCCCCTTTATTGCATCTGCAAACAGATACATGTAGATTAGAGCTGAGAAAGGCAGCGGAGGTGATGGCAGGGGTGGTGATCTGTTCACTACTCCCTCCCTATCTGCAATTAGGGCAGTAACTTTGTCTCACAGGATTAATGTGTTTCCAACTCCAGCAGCTATTTTAAGGTCTCAAAATGAGCCTGGGTGTCGACAGAGGGTTGACAAATCCCCTTAGACTGCTGAAAATGCCTTTACTGTCCCTGGAGGGGAATAAGTGTCAGCTGGTGAGCGGGGCACACTGCTGAGCAAGCTCACTGGCTGTGCGCACCCCCCGCCGCTAATCCGTCGCTGCGCCTTAATCCTGCTGAGCCCGAAATGCAACGTGGGGGACGGCCTCACGCGGGGTCAGCGCTGCTGCTTCCGACGGCGGAGCCACGCCAGGCTGTGCTGCCTCTGGCCTGCGCGTCGCACCAGCCCGCGCCGGCTCAGCGCTTGCCGCGGCTCCCGCCCGAGGGCTCTGCCGCCCCCAGGCTCCAAGCCTGTGCTTTTGTTCCTTGCTCTGGCTTGGCAGCGTACGGAGGTGTTTGGCGCGTGTAGGAAATGCACTTCAGGGGTTTATCCAGCCAGGTGCTGCGAATCCTTACGCTTAATGAATTTTTTACCCAGGACTCTAAATGTGCTTTGTGAAGTGCAGCCAGGCCACGTCCAGTCCCTGGCAGGCAGGCAGGCAGGAGGCAGGCAGGAGTACCGTTCCCATCATGAGGATAAAAGACAGATTACTGAGAACCTGTCTCGCCTGAGGACCACCTCTTTTTAAAAAATGTCCTTGTGCTTTTATTCCTTCATATTTCCAAGTCAAGCATGCGACAACAAAATTGCTCAGCAATACTCAGAGATGCCCTCCTGTGAATGGGGATGCTTTGCTGCTCATGTAAGTGTGGCTTGGTCGCTGCCCGAAGATGCTTTATTGCCTAAACTGAGAGGGGAACAGAAACAGTTCAGTATTGTGGTGCATGTTATCCTTTTAATCTTCCCACTGAGTCTTTTCTCAGGAGGGCTGCCCTGAGCCCCCAGAGTTGGTGGTATGTGCAGACCCTTCCTAGCAGTGGTGGCTTCTGTGTCTTTACCGGCCCAGCCTGCGCCATGGTGCTGCTCCTCCTGAGAAGTTTCCTGCGACGCTCAGACCCCTCCTCTGAACGTGCCTCGGTCTCTTGGAGAAATTGGCCTGTTTAGCTCTATCATTGTTGCTTAAACGTCCTAGCTGGAGCTCGAGAGAGAGCTGGTGCCAAGAGCAGTAGAAGGCAGCAGTTGCATTTTTCTGCAGTTCCCCTTCTTCTGGTGATCCAGGAAAACGGTCTGCTGTGGGGTGCACTGCTAACCATGTCCAATAAAATGTCTGTTTCAGGTGGGCTAAGCACAGCAGTGGGTTATCCGCTGGATACAGTGAAGGTACCTCTTGGAACTTTATTTGTTGACTACAGACTGAAGGCAAACAGACCCTGTTGCCTTTTTTCCCCTTTTAGAAAACTAGTCCTGTAACTGAATGCTTTAATCTTTTTTACGTCAACATATTTCACTATCTTCATTTGTTTGTGTTGTTTTTGCTCTTTTAAAAAAATGTAGATTATTTAGGGATGCTATTGTATGATTAACTAACTGGTGTGCTGTTAAAGCATTATTGGATGTTTTTTAAAAATCTGATGTCTATATTTCAAAGTTGCCCCTACATTCCTAGGTGAGGATTCAGACCGAAAGGCGTTACAAAGGGATTTGGCACTGCATTCAAGAAACATACAGAACAGAAAAGGTAGGTACCTCTACTCAGAGTTGCTTGTACGAGCTATGGATAGCTTCTTATTTCTACTTGGCGTAGCAGGAGGCGAGGCCTCCTACATAAACCGGAGAAGCAAAGCTCCATCAGTCAGTTTGGTGGGGAAAGACCACAATTACATATAACCATTTTTGGGGAGAACGGTTAGCATGCAACTCAGCCTTGCCAATAATCTCTAAGATAGAAATAAGTTTTGACTCAACAATATATGGACGGTGTTTTAGAGTGAAAACTTTCCCTTGCCGTTCTCTCTTAAAATTGTTCTTTTTTCTCTGTTTCTAACTAGGTTTGGGGATTTTACAAAGGCGTATCTGCGTCAGTCTTCACAGTATCACTGATTTCCTCTGTTTCATTTGGCACATACAGAAACTTCCTTCGCAACATCTGCAAATTGCGATATGGTACTGCAGATGCAAAGCCATCCGAGCTGGATATTTTTCTTGCGGGAAGTGCTACTGGTGCAGTCCGGGTAGGTAAAGAGCCGAAAAGGAAATCACAGAAAGAGATCTTGTCTGCATGTATATGAGGCCGGAGAAGCAGAGACTGGTTTCTGTTCAGGGCTGTGAGGGAGGCTGCTGGGAGCCTGCGTCAAAAACGGTGCCGGCTGGTTTTCGCATGGGGTCATGCTCTGCCCCGCTGCTCCCCAGCTGCTCAGGTCTACAGAGCGGTCAAGTCCTGCTGGGCAGCTCATGCTGGATTTCCTTTAGAGAGTGCCAACAGAGTTAAGAACACGCTATTGAGAATTATGTGGCAGAAAACATACAAAGAGGAAGAAAAACAACCTGGGTAGGAAACTTTCCAAGGGGCTCTGACCGCATCCCTGCAGAGGGAAGCCTTACGCAGCAAACGCGTAGCTCCGCTGGTGGAGCACAGGCTGGTGGTTTGGCAGTGGCTGAGGTCAGACACGACCGGCAGGCTGCGGGTCAGCGTAGCTGAACAGTAGCCTCCGTGCATCGAGTTCCTGCAGCGCAGGTGTCCGGCACAAAGATGCGTTTCTTGATCAGCAGCTTTCAAGCGGGGGTCAGAGCCTGCCGGGTCAGGGAGAGCAGGAGCAGCCTTTCACCTGGAGGAATTAATTCTCTCGTGCGACGGAGGGTGACGTAGCCTGCCGAGGGTGTGCTGCGCAGGGCTGCTCGCCAGCTGGGCGAGCAACGCCACAGCTGCTGAGCTCGGGTTAGGTACCTCCGCGCTCATGGGGAAGGGAACAGCGCGCAGCGTTGCCTTGGCAGGACTCAAAACCGAGCACGGCTCAGGGCATCACTGGTAAGCGAAGCTGCCTGGCAAACGCGCGTGTGATTCCCAGAAAGGATGTTACGTGGTAAGTCTAAATTGAGGTGCGGTTTCCTGCAAGCAGATGGATTTCTGCGAGCCCTGCAGGCGCTGCCAATGCCACAGGGCCTCCCGCGGCCCTGGCGCGTGCCGGGCTCCGAGGGGCACGCAGCCCTGGCGGATGCAGGCAGTCCTCGGGCAGGGCAGTCCAGCTCATCGGGGCTCTAGGAGTTTCCCGGTAGGGAATGACTCTACTTAACACAGTTGAGTTTCTGATATTCTTTATGGCCTTTTTTCCAATTACCAGTGTGTTGAAGAGCCCCAATGTATGTTATTCGTTAGCCGAGGACATCCTTTTTGTCCATGCCCATGTGGTTTAACAAGTTTTTACAGCTATTTGGTGTACTCTACCTACTTCTGCCTCGCCACTGCGCACAGCGTAACACAAGCTCACACTCCTGGCCTGCTCCTGCTCTGTGGCGGTGTAGTGAGGACCAATGCGAGGAAGCTGGAGCTTGCTGGCTTTAGATAATAAATACTGCTACCTGAAAAGGTGGGAGACGAGTGATTTGATGGGTGAGGCTGGAGGAGCATGAAAACATTGTTTAAATGGGAAGGTTTAAAATAATGTCCTCTAACTTTACAGGTTATGTTGATGACACCTAGTGAGGTAGCTAAAGTTCGAATGCAAACTCAGAGGCAACCACATCCTTCTGTGGCATCTCCCCAACCTATTTCTAAGCCGAAGTACCAAGGCTCTCTGCACTGTCTGAAGGTGATCGCAAAGGAGGAAGGTTTTGGGGGTCTCTACAAAGGCTGCTCTGCATTACTCTGCAGGGATTGCTCCTCTTCTGCAATATATTTCCTTACCTATTCTGTTCTGTGTGACTGGCTTACACCAGTGGGGAAAAAAAAACCGGGTAGGTACAAGAGAGAGTCTTGCATTATCTGCAAAAATGGCTCATTTTGTATCATGCTGAGAGGAAAATCATATTCTCAGCAAACATTACTCAGCATCTGTAAGGCTTTGCTCAAAACCGTGCCTTGTGAGGGGCAAGTTTTATTATTTCACTGTCTTTGTTTCCTGCCCTTCAGCCAGGGGAGCAGGCAGGGTGGGGGTGAGGATTTGCTGGCTGATTGCTCCAGCCGTGCTGAGCAAACTCGGCCCACGTGGCTGAGAGGGTGACAAGCAAGGTAAGCTGCTTAGTACATGGCGACGGCATGTGGGGGGGGGTTGAGATGCCCTGGGGCAGGTGGCTGCAAGGCGGGCCGCAGGG